TCATCCTTCTTCGTCTTCTTCTTCTCCCTCTTCCTCCCCCCTTCGCTCCATAGCGGCATGCCCCGGGCATGGAAGTCGAGGTTAGAAAAGATGGAAAGGTATCTTTGTATCTTTGTAGCGCGCACTGTACTCTACAACCCAGCTAGCACTTGACACCCTGGTCGCACCCCCAAGGGCCCCCGTCGCGTCTCTGAGAAGTCCGTACCATGTACTCGAGTAGAAGAGGGCCCAGGCAGCCCAAGACCGCCACCCCCCCGCCTTTCGTTTTTCCTTAAACTGTCTGGTCATGGCCGCAGCCCGTGCTACCACCTCGCTATCCTCTTTTCATTCACTCCGCAGTTCCCTTTCACCTTATCCTCAATCGAGCTGCTTTTCCCCAACTGACACTTGTTGCTTGTTTTCGAGAGCAGGGGAAATCGCTTGAACCACCAACGACGTACGTCAAGCCGCCCCGATACCTCATCGAGAACCTATCTGTATCCATACCCATACCCGTCTCCTCTTATCCCCTTTTTTTCTTCTTCTGTTCTTTTCTGGGGGGCGTCCAAGAACCCGTTCTTCGGCTCCGTGGATTCCATTGAAATCCGGACGAGAGAGATACGACATCCCAACCATCTCACCCTTCACCCTCACCCTCATCCACTCGGTACCTGACCTGACCCGGTCTTGCCTGACAACTGACCCTTGGTCCAACGTCTCTCTCTGGCTCTGGACTCTCGGCCTTACCTTTCCCTCCTGCCCCCCCTCTCAGGTTACCCCCAGTCTCTCTTCTCGGCCTTCTCCCCCCGTCAAAAAAGGGATCCCCCCAAAAACCGCCGAGTGACCTCGACTCTTTCTCCCACTACCCCCGACCCAAGTTTCTCACTCGAGTCGCGTTTTTTCCTTTTTCTGCGCGGCCACCCCATCGCACCACGCATCTCCGCAGAAATACCTACACAAATCCGCTCGGCTCATAACCCGCACCGCAGCCAGTTCGTTTCGCCAGGCCAAGCCTTCCCGCTTTCCGCTGCGAACAAACCACAACCACCACCACCACTCCCACCTGCTGCCGCCACGCTACCTTGTGCTTGTCTCCAAAAAAGACCAGCTTCCTTCCACCACCAAACCATCCATCCACCGCGCCCGCGCCGCCTGTCAGAAAAATAGTCGCCGTCGACTATTGACTATTTGGGACAAATCTTCATTCAGCCTGTCCGCTATCCGCTGTGGCTACCGACAAGCAACAAGTGCATGTCAGGCACGGAAGCTCCAAAAGTCAAACAAAGCAAATAAAAAATTAAATCAGCAAATTCCTCGCTTCCGTTGGTCGGCAGGGGAAAAAAAACAAAAAAGGTACTACTACACACGCAACCGCGCTATCAGTCGCCCGCGTAACCTACCCACCTACCTACCACCTACCCTACCAACTCAACTCTCCTACCTGCCATCTTTCTCAATCAGTCAACCTTACCTGCCTTCCCACCTCCACCACACGCAAGGCACCGCATCCGCTCCGCACCAGACTCAATACAGGTTACCTCCCGTTCCGACCTGCCTCCTTCTGCGACAACATTCAAGCTACACACAGCAAGAGCTCATCCACCCTGATCAAGTATAGATCAATCGGCACCACGCTCAAAGCAGTTTCTCCACCGTTTTTTACCTTTTACTGCCTTGTGATACCATCCAACACCCGCGCACTTGTCCACAATGGCCGACATCACCGATCAACACGACCAGACCTCGCCTACCGACCTCGACGAGTCGCAGGTTGGCAACGGCAGCGTCGCCGAGAACAGAGGCGTCAAGCGCCAACGTCCCAGCACCGCCGACGACGACGATGATGATGACGAGAAGGGCGGCCGCGAGCGTCGCAAGATTGAGATCAAGTTCATCAACGACAAGTCTCGTCGTCACATTACATTTTCCAAGCGCAAGGCTGGTATCATGAAGAAGGTACGTTGACAATTCCAATCGTTCCTCTATCTCCAACCGAGTCGAAGCAATCCTCCACGGAAACTTGCTGCTGCCTGCACCAGCCCGATTTTTACTTGTTCAAAATGCTGACCAGAATGTCCATTAGGCTTATGAGCTTTCTGTCCTCACTGGCACCCAAGTGCTCCTCCTTGTTGTTTCCGAGACAGGTCTCGTCTACACCTTCACGACACCAAAGTTGCAACCTCTTGTCACTAAGGCTGAGGGCAAGAACTTGATTCAGGTATGCGCTTTCTGCTTGAACCAACGCAAAATTACAAAGAAAAAGAAGGACAATTCTGACTCTCGATACAGGCATGCCTGAATGCACCCGAGCCATCCCAAGGCGGCGAGAACGGCGTCGACGACTCGAACCAGGTTGACTCGCCCGAAGAGCCTCCTCAACAGCACCTGCCCCCTCAGGCTGGACGCCAGGGTATGCCTCAACCTCACATGCCTCCTAACTACATGTCCAACGTCGGCATGGACCCTTCTCAGGCGCTCGCCTACCAGAGTTACGTCCAGCAACAACAACGGGGTGGTGGCTACGCTATGCCGCCGCAGTCTGGTCTTCCCCAGCACACGTCGCATCAGTCATGATCGCCAAGTTCATCGTGACTTTTGCATTTCCCGTTGATACCAGACACACATCCTGCATCTCCCAGACCTCAGTCGCCGGCATTCGTCATTTCTTCACCCGGCGATGAGGCTCTGGTAGTTTGGCGTTACAATTCGGTGTGAATAATTGCTGCATCTCATTCCACTACGTTTTCTTTTTATTTCTCTTGATCCCAATTTCCCTTTTGCTATTACGACTCCGCCGGCATCTCACAACTTGGCCGTCCTTGGACTTTAATTTTCAAGGAAAACAGTTATTGTGCGATACCGTTATCGCGGAGCGGATTTTAATGCTGTCTAGCTGGGGAAGACACGGGGGAACATAACGAGAGACATGGAGACACTGAGGAGCATGCGATCAGGAGACATGGGGTATGGGTGGCATTACGACGGCGGCGGTCTCATTGAGCGCGGCACGTCTGTGCCTCGCGACAGGCGGCTTGCCGTCTGTGGACGCGAGTTTGTATGGCATCGTTGGCCATTTTCGTTTTCGTTCTTTTTTCCTTCTTCTCCAGTGGCGGTAGGGGAGAGTTGTGTGGTTGGAGAAAGCTATGTCTTGCGGAAGCAGGGTGGGGGGATTTCCGGCGCGGGAGGGGGAAGGTCCTTTTTCAGCACGAGAGCACGACATTCTCACGGCTGGGGCAGGCACATCTTTTTTGGAATGGACTGTGATGATTTCATTAAAGTCGAGGATCAACGAGGGAACAGAGAGACGTCGCGCGACCAACTCGGTCCGCTCCAGAACCCGTAATCTCTCACTACGCTGCTCTGCGAGGAAATGTCTTTTGGGCTCTGTTTCTCCGTAGGACTCGGCACGATACCCCCCGGCCCTGGGCAAATCAACAAAAAGCTACATTCACACCGTACACTTTCCGTTCCTGTTCGCTGTCATCGTTGTCGTTGTTGTCAGGCGCGGTCTCAGTCTGGGATACAGGGGAATAAGCAGGCACCGAGAGCCCGGGGATGCACCGATTCATGGGAAAAAGGAAGTGATGAAGAACGCAAGATGAGTTTTAAGAATATGGAGAGGATGAAATGTCTCTATACACCTTGTATGATAGTTATATCCGCGTGCGCGCCCCCCTTTTGCGATTATTATTCCTCCTCCTTTCCCCCCGTCTTCCTACCAGAAATTACCACGACTAGAAAGACAGGACCTGACGAATTGCTAATGTTGTGAAAACGTTATAAGAAGAATTGTAATTTACGCGCCGAGTTCTGTGAAGTGATGCTTATCTGAAAGGTCTACAATATCTATGCACTATACTCCTAGAGCATCGAATCCTAGGTAGTCGAAGGAGAAGGCGCAGATAGGTCGTCGTACTATTGGCCAATCATGCGAGGATTGATCCGAAGTGAAAAGTGGTGGGTTGTTTCCGTCGAGACTAGGAGAGACTTTTTCTGTCCGTTGCTTACACATTTTCAGATCTTTCGACTTTTCCTTCCTCCGTTCCCCGCGTCCGTCCGTCCGTCCTCGAACGATTCCGTTTGCGGACTCGAACAAGCAAACAAAAATTTAGACTCGGCTTTGGTTTGGGTTGGTTCGGCAGTGCGCAGTTGTCCGTGGCGGCATACGTAAAAGTGTGTGGTGTGCCGTCACGGTGACATGACAAGTGACTGAACTCTAAAGCTGGAATGCGAGACACACGAAAGAAGGGGAAAGACAAAAAAAAAAAAAAAGACAGGCACAAAGAGGTGCTGGCAAACAAGCTACACTACCTACCACGATGGTGGTGGTGAGGAGGAGGGGGGGGGGGAGGAAGAAAGGAAGAAAGCCCGGGTCGTTTTTTGACAGCTGCCCGACAGCATAAGGTCGCGCGAAGCTTGGTTGTCAAGCGGTGGGCAAGGTTTTCGCAACAGATTTTGGCTTCTGTCCTGCCCATACAAATGGTTGTGTCATTTCTCCTTGGAATTTCCTAATTAATTCAAGCTCGGGCGGGCATCGAGTACGAACGAGCCAACCCCTACCGTCCGGTTGCTTGCTTGCTTGGTAAACTTGTTGACAGTTTGACGTCCGAGGGGAGGGGTGGAAGATGTAGGGTAGTAGGTTCCAGACCGCACTTGATTGACAGAGGTTAATTTGTCGACATGCACTCTCTTATTCTTGTTCTTGTCATTGCAAAACTGTGGATGTTGTCGTCGCATTGGTATGCGGTTGAAATAGCCCGCCGACAACTTTTGCCTGATTAGGTCGAACAGCGGATCTCTGGTTCCATTCACGGGCGACTAAACTCACTGCAGACTCATGGATGGCGGGAACTCGGGATGCAAGGGGCAGAGTGAGAGATTCGTATGCTGCTTTTGGCCTTCTCGCGTGTTGTGATTCGGTGAACGATAGACCCGCCCGTGGCACGGCCGGCGCAACCTAACTGCTGGGCGCGGACTGACAGTGGTTGTGGACCTACGGGTACTGCCTGCATTGCCCGCCCTCATGTTTCGCTCGTTGTTACTAATGAGGTGGTGCACGTCCTCAGCGCGGCTTTGGCGACGGCGCCGGTAGCGGGGGTCCAGCGGGGAGTCGAAGAGGAGACCAGCCCGTAGACTTGGCGCGAAGGACGATGCACAACCCTCTTGGCTGGGCTGTTGATGAAGATGAGGTTCACAGCCATCTCATCATCGTTGTCGGTCTCTCTCATCTGGCAAACTTGACTTGAATCGTTTCTGGGGATACAGTGTGCAACTAGCGGGGTCGATCGGAGGAGTTGTATTCGACTGATCGGGAGAGTGAGACTCATCAAGTCTTTGATGTGTCACATGCGCATCTGCGTGCTTCAACTCTTTTCTTTTGACCTTTTTACAGCGGGGTAAAGTTGACATATTTGGAAAGACGCGGATCTAGCTGTGAGGTTTTCCGGCAAATGTATCTCTGTTGTTTTTGGTGGAGAAGGTCCTGTCTAGATTTGGACGTGAGCAGGGACAGCTCGTTGCCTTTTTGGGCCTGGCGACCTTAACGGGATTTGCGGCGAACCGGTCCGCTGCGGTTTCAATGTGGTCAGACGTGATCGGATCTAGATTTAGGTAGACCATTTTCTGAAGCTCTTCCGACCTTGGCCGAGCAGCTATGCAACTGGCTTGATCGTCTCCGTAATCTCGGCAACGGCACAGAAGGCTGTACATGGGTCAAACTTGGATATCAGCCCAGCCCTCTGTCTCTGTAGTCCGTCGACAAGGATGGACGAGGAAGAGATTGATTTTGAATTGACAGGGTCGGCGACCTCTAGGACGCTGCATACAGGGTTGAATGCCGAGTCCCAAGGGCCCGTTACCTCGACTGGACTGGATGCCGGTCCCGAGGTCATTTCCAGGATTACGGGAGACTTCGCCGGCGGTTGGGCCAGTAAGAGGTGTGGCAAGCTTCCGGCTGATATATGGACTCGCCACGTTCGTTTCCTGGTGGTCTAGGGCTCTGTGGTATCGTCGGACACTGCAAATGATGGACTGATTCTGCTGGCGTTTGAGAAAATGGTGTCCAGGATTGTCTCCGCGCCCTCCTCTACTCGGAGTCCCGTTCTTGATAGTACTCGTCCTCTGGTAGTGAGCCTAGGCTGAGCTCTCGTTAGTCCGGACAATCAAGAACTTTACATCGTCCTAACTACTCCTCTTCGAGACGTTCAGAAAGAAGTGACACCCACAAAGTCCCGAGGCTCGAGGATGGTCGCTTTGTATTGCACAGTGCTCGGAGTTGAGCCGCGTCTCCTTGCTAATGATTCCCCATCTCCGGGTTCAGGCACAGATATCGTGGACTCCGGGTAAAGCGAAAGCCCCGCACAGCCACGGCGCTCCCGTCGTCTGTTGTCGTCTTTGTAGTGAATCATGACCCGATTGGAGCGTGGTGGTTAAGATGCAACGGATGGCAGGGTTCAACTGACTTATGTTGTATCGGACTATTCAAGTTTGTGTTGTGACATCCAAACACAGCCTTCAGTCGGAGTTGGTGGTGCAAATATATCTTGCTTGTCTCTCGGTTTCTGACACTGGTGCTAGTAACGCCGGTAGACATGCGGCAACCTCGTCATTGTCTTGGCCATTCAAAGCTCTGCTGTAGAGAAGAGTTCGTCGAGGTAGAGCATCGATTCATTTTGTCCGTCCCATGTGGAAGTTGCCGTACCCCTCTGCAAGATGGCCAGGAACCAAATTTGACTGGAACGGAGCATCGGAGCAGTGAAACTTCGAGGTCAGTCTGGAGGGGAGCTGTTCAGATGAAACGGGCAGAAACAAGCTTCGTGGAAGGACGGGTTCTTCGAAGAGTGCGGAATTGGGGGAAACACTCCACATGCTCAGGGCTGCCATGCCACGCTGGGTGACGTCGCATCTGGCACCGCGACTCGAGACGCCAGAGCGCGAAGGGAGGATGCCTGTTGATCAACAATAAGAACGTATCCGTACTCGCAAAACATGTGATTGGGTGTACAGTCGACTATTGATGCAGTCCCAGAAAACATGGTCGGGCTGCTGATCTTATCGTTCGTCCTGGGTTGCATCCCCCCGAATTGGACCTCTGCCAGCATGTGAGCCTGTCTGGCTGCTTAGTGATACACTTTCGTAGGGGCAGAATCTGAGGGCTGATAGGCTATAGCCACCTCCAGTTGCATCTCTGGCCGAGCGTGGCGGACAGGTCGACATGCGGCTCCTTTTGGGCTCGACTCATTTGGTATTCGAAGGCTTGACTTGGACGAAAGGGGAAGAGGTCGAGTAGACGGCTTAGGTGATGTGGCACAGCAACGAAGGCAGCGACGGTAAGGAAGACTTGCTTGGTGGCTTGGTATGTCTCACTCGAACCTCGCAGGAAGCGGGGGACGGAGGCGACGGGCTGAGGGAGTTTGAGAAGGTTTCTGCACGAGCCAGGAACGGCACTAGTCACCCTTGTACATGTACTTGCCGCGCTATCACCACGAGACCACAAGAGACGAGAAGGACGGAACCCCATATTGAGTACCGAATCTGTACACACAGCTTCACTACTATCGATCGTAGCTGCTTGAATTTTGACAACCGCAGGCTGCCACTGAGTGTACAAACGTTGCTTCGTGCAGCACAACACAGCGAGCGTAATCTCCAGCCGGAAGTAGCCTGGTAGTTTCCTTCGCATGCGGTTCCAAAAAAAGAAGAAAAAAAAAAAGGACAGAAAAAAAAAGTTTGTTGATTGTAGCGGTGTCCATTCCTTCGTGGTCGCATTCCTCGTGTCTATTTGCCATGATCCAGCATCCGTCCATCACTAGAGTCACCGCATCATACAACAGCAAGTGAATTGAGGAGATCGTTCTAGTCGGTATCGTCTCCATAACTGCTGCTGATAATTCACTAGTGCTCGCCCATAGTGGCAAAACGGCCAACAGCGAGACTGCCCAGGAAGACGCCGCCGAGAACTGACAGCAAGTAACCAACGTTCATTGTCATGACAGCCAACATCCTATGAATTGTTAGTAGATGTTTCAAAAGTAAGCAGCGAGAAAAAGAACACGTACAGAAGATACCCAACTCCGGCAATGGCAGTGTCAATCACAGCACGAACAGGATCAACGGAGAATCTCCAGGGCCTCCAAATGCCATGTCCCTTCTGAACGACAGTGACGTTCTCCTCGAGGCCGTTCTCGGAAAGTACCATTTGCTTTGCCATGCTGTCCGTTGACATCTTTCCTGCCATGCCGAGCTTGCCGTTAACGCTCACGTAGCGGCGCTTGAAGTCCTTGTCCAACCATCGCTTCTCCTGAATAGACTTGAGAGCGAGCATGCTGCGAAGACCGAAGGCCAAGAAGATGAGGAAGATGCACGTGGCGGCGTAAGTGCCAACGCTGTTCGGGGTCCAGGCCTCGGTGTAGAGAGGAGTCTTCAGACTGGTCTGGAAGATGGTCATCATCATCATGCTCATGCTTGAGCCAGTCGAGCCGTGGGTATCGTTCATCGTGCCGGATCCCATATCCATTCCCGGCATAGCATCCGAAGCAGTTGCTGTTCCTGTCGCTCCGTGGTCATCGCCACCGTGTCTTGCCATGAGAAAGCTGTCCATTTTTGCGAATATCGTGGCGAAGCGGTCGACGCTGGCGTACGAGAACTGGTAAACAATCGAATATTAAGAGAGTGACGGTGTGTATTATGTACGGTTTTACCAGGCTCCAGTCCCGGCCGTGGAGTCAGTTATTATTTAAGATGGGAAGTGAGAGATAGAGCGTCCTGGTCCTTCAGATGGATTTGCCAAGATGAGGGGATCAAGGCGGCACGGGCGATGTTATAGACTGGCAGCGAGAAGGTTTGCGTGGGATCTTCAGACGCTTCAAGCAGGGAGGGTGTTACGAATAAGTCTTCGCGATACTGCGGCGAAACGAGAGCATGTTGTGCATGAATGGGAAGTAGACTTGGCTCGTGCCAAGATGTAGGAGGCGGACGGCCGTGACTTTTTGTTGCGCCTTCCGGAGGGCCTGAAAGCCTGGTTACACCCTGGTGAGACGGGCAACCGGCCACATTCTGGCCTAAGACTGCGTTAGCAGAAGGTTGCGGTATCACGCGAGACATTCTGCTAAGGCCAGGAGAAGGAGCTGATACGGAATATCAGGGAACGCCCCTTCGGCAACTTGCGCATGGGTGGAGTTTGCGACGATGCCAAGGCGGGGTCTTCTCCACTATGTTCGTTCTCATTGGCTTGTGGGCCTTCTTAGCTTCGGTAGCCTAAAAGAGCAAGAAGTACCGATACCTTCTCCTGCTAACAATTTTTTTCTCTAGTGACACCCTCACACCCAAACTCAACCTCCATCCATTCTGCTCTCAAACAAACTGCTCACGGCGTGTCTCGACATCGGCCATTTTCTCCCCCGTTGCTCGCCTTTTTTTTCATCGGTCTCCCACAAAACTTCGAATGAATCACGAGACGAAAGAAGAAATGATGTTGTTGAGTTGAACGTTGTTTATTGGCTACCCTGTGCCCAATGCAATTTCCTACCTTATCTGGACGTTATGTCCGTCAATCGAACCTCCAGCCATACCAGCACGATATTCTATGACAGCCTCACGCCTCTGTTTCCAAATATAGCTCTACGACAAAATATCTGTAATTATTTGGAGACAGCAGCATGGGCCACTTAGGGAGAAAGTTCCAGGCCAGCCGTGGCTCTGCTATCAATCGCAGTTCCTGAACAGGGGTTGATGGTTCGACGGTCTGGAGCTCCTTGCCGACCACTTCAACTATGGTGCTTGGTAGAAAAGACTTCAGCCCCATACGCCTCCAAGACTGTTCGAAACGACTCATACGGCCTACGTTGTTCACAAGAGCTGATACGCTGTCTCAAATGTCGCTGCCGAGCCCAGAGTTTGGTATTTCATCACATTCATCCGAAGTCTCGGGCCACCCTATTCTCGGCCATCCCAAAGCACCACCAGGGGAGCTCGTCCCACAATCTCGCCCTAAGCCCGCCAATCGCAATCACAGCCTTTCGATCTCTGCTCTTCCGTCTCCTAAAATGTGGTTGATCCACCGATGGGCGAGCACGTTTGGCGCTCAACCTACGCATCATCGCCCCGACACACCGTCACGCCCCACTTCTCGCGTGCGATTATGTCCCTACCGCTCCCAGAGCACGATGACCGACGATTCTTCCGAGTCCACCACTATTCGGCCGAGTTCCAGGAGCCTTGAGTCATCTTCAGTAAGCCAGCCCCGTCAAACGTCGATGCCCCCGTGTAGATGCTGCATTGACTGATTTGTGAGGAACCAAGAAATTCCTAGAGGCCAAAAATTAGCATGGTCCGACGTTTTGAAAACCTGATTGACTGGCGAATCAGCTCAGTAACGCTTACGAATCCGAGTTTTCGTTCACAGATTATTCCATCCTCAATGAAATGATTCGTCGAGTGTTTGACAAACGGAACAGAAACTCACGACGACATAAAACACGGCATCGCCAGCACACAATGGATGTTATGGGATTGCGGTTTCCCGCAAAGGCTTTCTCCTGGGGCAAGCCTGCTTCTATACATTGCCATTGATGTCAGGCACAAATCTAGGCGGCGACTCACGGGTTGATCTGCAATGATCCTTGGCATGTAGGACGTCTGTCAGGATGTCAATGCTTTCGAGCCTGGAGATCCGAGAGTTGCGTCTCAGAGGAGAGGGTGTGTGAGAAGTCTGAACACAACTCAACCGCCTCCCGCTGTCACTTCAAGGTAGACCGCGCCACTATGTGATAACGGGAATTGCCAGGTTTTCGCACTACGCAACTGTCTGCATTGTTCCAATCTGCTATATTGGGGTTTAAATGCAGCCAAGGTTCTCGGAAATGTTCGAGTTTTTTTAGTTCAAATGGTGGCAATTAGCACGTTCATGAAGCTTCGACTTTACCACAGAGATTACTTTCCCTGGACCAAGGAAGCTTCTGATATATACAGACACTCTGTCCAGCTGATTTGCTACCAGCGCAAGAGCAATTGCTTACGCCTCAAGTCTTGTCTATTTGATGATGTCGGCATGGTCGCAGCCCGAGTCTCGGATGATGATAGAAGAAATCGCACACGCTTGATTTCGAGCGCTTGGGTCCAGACTAGTTTTCGAGCAAGCCCTGAATACCAGCCTGTACACCCCGGAGACAGAATCGCGGAGAGAGAGAGAGGCTTCGCTCAGTTCTATCCTTGGTTCTTTGAACGCTTGCCCGAACATGAGAACTGCGGGGACGCGTGGAGACCGCAACTTCACAGGCAGGGATCACCGGTGATCAGTGACCCGAGTCTGATGCAACCCTAGCGACACTGAGATTAGTTGAAGTCTTGCCATGGTTCTCGCTCGCCAGCACTGATTACTTTGAATTGCGCCTATTTCTCCTTCGAGGATATGCGTTCATGTCCCCCGATAGCATGCAGCTGCCCGTGAGCGTCTGACGATTTCAGCAAACGCTGAGATATGTCTCGCCAAGTTTACGGCCTAAGTTGATTTCGAGGCCTGGCCGACATGCGGACTGGCTGGTATGCTTCGGTTGGGCGCTTCCGTGGCTATCTGCCCCTGGCCAAGGGGAAATGATCTGCAACAAGCCGCAGAACCATCCACGGGAATTGAATGGTTGATGGCAAGGTTGGTCCGGGACAGAACACAGGGCATTCCCTAAGCTGCATCCAACCCAAATCGCGGGGCCGGACCGGGATCAAGGGGCGACTTCGCATCTTGCCGAGCCTAATTCGACGACTTGCAACGAACGCCCTTGCTAACTCATCCAAAGTACGCGTCTGCCTTGTTATCAATCGCAACCTAGCAATCAGGAGCTGACCTCTGACCCACGGCATTCTACACTCGTAATCACGCTTCACCGTGGAAACGTTTAGCAAAAACAGGTGACGTCAGAAACGTCCAGCAATGGCAACCGCTAATCTACCTGCGCCTGCAGCAATTCAAGATATTTGAACTGAAGAACAAATATAGCTCATGTTGTGTCTGGCTCACCTGCTTGAGCATGGTTGCCTTCGGTCGCATGGGTTCGCACGGAGCTCGACCATCTAGTATAAGATTCTAGACGACCTTGACCATTGCCGACGGCACAAGCACCGGCGCAAGCTTTGATCAGTGAGGCTACTTCGACACTGTGTCTATTATCTGCGCAGCATAGACGCCGAGCATTTATCCTACTTTTGGATCCAGGGGCCTGGCAATGATACATATGTACTCAATGTCGCGTAACATTAACGGCAACGTTCTTGCAGCAACTGCGTTCTCTTCCGCGAATCAGCACGAGCCCAGGTATATGGGTCTTTACCTCAGTATAGTTTTTCGCATGATCAACCTACAAGTCAAACCATAGTACAAGAGTCGAATTCTAGACCAGAGGCACAGTAGATGTCGCCTTCCGCCTTTACGATGGATGCCACTTATGGTAGGGACGTCAACATCAAACGATCTCGAAGTGTCAGATTAAGACTTATTGCACAACCTTTTCACCCCGAACTCTCGTTTAAAAGACTCCACAACGATATTTTCTCATCATTCCAATGACCCCAGATCAACTTCTTCTGACCAACCATTGGCAAGATTAGGAAAGCGACATATTGTGTCTGCAAACCGGTATGTAAGATTGTCGTCGTGGGATTCGTTAGTTTGCGTCCAGACGTTCAGCCGCTGCCGCTTCGAGGCTGCCGCTAGGCTCGAAGAGGAACCGGAGGACTAGCCTTGAGGCTTCCTGCTCGGGCGCTGATCTGCACAGGAGCATTCAAAAGAACAACCATCTTGGGACCATTGGAAACGAGATTACACCTCAGCCCGCTGATACCTCCTCCTATTTACATCCTACCACATGAGCATTGCTTACGTGGCGCGGCTAGACATGCCCTCTGTACCAAGAAGGCTGACAACGCCCTGGTTCATCCCACTGTGTCGAATTTCGTTGCAGCCGACGAAGACAAGCCTTTTATTCTTCTACATTGATGGGCGAAAGAACGATAGAAGAAAGCACGAAGAACTTACGCCATCAACGTGCGCCATCCTACCGACATGCTGAACGGCTTCGACTTACCGACTCTCTTCCCCTCTATCTCTATCCGAGTGGAGAAATTATCTACGGCTGAATGATGCTTGCGTCTTTGGTGCAATGAAGCACGTGACTCAATTGCCAAGGAAAACGCACATATGGGATAACAAGCTGGGCCAGTCATATGGTCAGATCACTGGAAGCTGGGCAAGATGATGCCTATGTCATCCCATACACCCACCCTCACGTTTCTTGGTGAGTACGACAAAACAAGGTAGAAGGAGTCAATGCGGTTGGTCGGCGAGAGTCCTTGCCACTTCCGATCCAACAGTTTCCGTTGAGGGGTGTTTCCCACCCTCTCCAAAGCGTCAAATGAATTGATGGTCTATCTTCAGTAGCGTTGATGCCAGGCATTGTCAAACAATCTGTGCACTCCATGAGGGTAACCAGTGCTCTCAGGTGTGTTACCCAGCTGCAGCTCGACGACCGACTCTTGTCGAATCCGCACGCTCAAAATGGCATGGCTTCTCAGACCCATACACTAGTGGTGCCGCCGGCTCTGAGAGAAAGGGGGAAAAGGGGAAGGGCTAGAGGTTCCCCGGGAGGAGGCGCCTCGCACACCTTCGCCAGCCCATCGCGTGGGAGTGACAGGAATGCTTGTCCATGGGTTGGTCTCCGCCCTACCACCTACCTTACTCTAGCTTTTCCCTCTCCCCCCCTTCTCATTCCACCCTCTCGCGTGTGTGTGTCTCAGCTCACGTCAGGTTCTCGATTCAGCTCCGCAGCCGGATCGCTTTCACTTGCCCCGCTACTCTATCCCCCCCCCCGCTGGCTTGGCTTTGTTCTCCATCAGACCGGAGCATTTCGAACTGGCCATCACGGCTGTGTATGACCAGACGAAGACCTTACCAGCTCCGGACTGGGGCGACCTCTCTGGTACATTGAATCTTCGTTTGCGCGATGGGGCCGAGCCCATCAAGCTGCACTCTCCGCAGATAACCGACATGCAAGGAAGTCTAGACTCTTCCGTATTGATCGCATATCGCTTCTTGATCAACTTCGCGTATCTTTGACGAATCCCCAGCGTGCTATCCAGCAGCGGGATAACGCGTAGCGAACTCTCACGGACTCTCCGCTCATCGGGTCAGTGAAATGATCATCGTCTACGACGCTCTGATCACTGGACACCTATACCCACTGTTATTAAGATACTGACTTAAGCTTCGTGACTGCAGTCTTGGAATACGGTGGGCGACTCATGTGCGACATGACATACGAAAGGAAGAAAAAAGTTGCAGAGGCTGCTCGTATCACAACTGCACCGTGTTTCCCCCATCCATTCCAACTTAACAGCCTCTCCTCGGACAGTTTTTTTTTTCTCTTGCCGGAACGAGGTTAATACAGAAGCAGAGGGCTGGCTGACGAACATGTGGTTTGCTTCCCCGGCGATCGACTAAGGAATCCCCAACGCGGTCACACAAGCAACGTCCTTCTTTCGTCAGAAGCATCCCATCTTTCTCAATCCCCTTTGAAGGAGGAGACTCCCGAAGAGCAAACTTGACCCAAAAGAGCATGGAAGGGGGGGGGAGGAGGGGCAAGTCTGATTTACTGCGTGTTATGTTCCTCCCCCCAATGCCATCTGATGTTTTGAGTATGGCGCGCGGCGGCGGCGCCCAGCGCCTCTTTTTCATCTGTTTTTTTTATTTCCTGCAGAGAGCGAGAAGACCGACAGACAGACACCCGCCCCCCCCTCCCCCCCCCCCCCCCCCCTTCCCCTCGCACTGATCTCATGCGGCCGTTCACGCACGCCAGCACGTTCCCTTACGCCCAAAGCCCCAAGCTCCCCAAGAGCAAAACGAGAGGTGAGGAGGAGAACCAGCCCTAAAAAAAAAAAAGCCAAAAACTATAATGTACACCCCCATACGCCCTGCCCGCCAGCCTTGTCCGTTCCGTTCACGCCATCCTTTCCTATCCGCTAGTCTCTGCACGTAATCATCGCTAGGCTCTGGCTCTAATCTGCCTTTGGTTCAGATGAGGAGGAGGAAAAGGATGAGAAAGTGATTCGACCAGTTTCGAGCATCTATAGACTTCTGTTTCGATGGATTCATACAGCTCTGTCTCAAATGGTGATTTCTTGCCGGTTCAGTCTCTGGAATTCTCCGGTCGAGAGTGTAGAGATGCCATGCTGTGCGGATGTCTGATATTCTAGGATGTTCCTCCGTGAACCATCCTAATCACCACTAGGGTCAATATTATCGATCGAGCTTAGATCTTTGAGAATAGGGGCGAAGATTCATTGTCCTTCACATGCCAATCAATTGTCATTATTGTGCTTCTCTCGTAGCTCTGGAGTACCGTTATGACACTCTGTGAAGCAACGGGCCCATTACCGTTCGCGAGACTTCGATATATGTGTAGAGCATTACTCATTTCTCTCGAAATTTTCATATCGGGTCGATTACCCAGGGAACGCTCTCTTGCGTTTGTAATAATGTACAGTCACCTGTCTCTTTGATAATCTTGGTATCTCCCAAAGCAGTCCCTGATGCCCAACTCCACTATACCACCTTGATAACCTGCGACCTCTTGCGTACAAAACCCGACCGTTCCAGATGCCCGTCCAAACTTTGACAGAATCAATGACTCAACCTTGACTGTCGTTTTAGGCCATCCTCCGTCATCGTGACCCATCCGATTCGTGAGTGCCTGCGCCAGTTTCCATTTTCCCGATATATAGGTGTTCCGTGGAGCCGTACCCAATTTGGCATCGCCCTATCCCGCATCCGTGTGTAGCAAGGACGATGCCGCAACCATTCGCCGTAAAAACAAACCCGACCCCGTGTGTCCTGTCCAACTGGTCCTCGTGCCCACGAGTGATTTTCCCGAAAAAGCATGTAGCGAAAGAAAGCTTTGGGAACGAAAGTGACCACAGTCCCAACTGGCCCCCTCTATGACCCTGGTAGTCTCTTTCCATTAATGTTCCGTGGTGTCAGTATAACGCCGGGGTTTTCGTGTATAACCGTGCGTGTAGAAAAGAAATGATACGATGTACGGCCGGTGATCGAATTAAAAATAAGTTTTCAAGAAAGGTTTTCTCCGAAGCGTCTGTTGCTAGGCATTCTTCCTCGAATGCCAACCGTGTCTTTCGAATTTTCGTTACGTCCGTGGATCCCCCATGTTGTGGTTTTGGCGGTTTCATGTACAGAGGTATTGTCATCGCGGTCGTAAGCCACGTTGACGCCTGGCTACCTAAGTTGATGATGACCACCCTCGGGATGTCCAAGAGACCGCAGATGATCTTAGCCGTATATTCGATAAAGCGAGTCGAATATTGAAGGTCGTGAGCGGCAATCTGTAACCATCTACTCTCGCTTGAGTGGAGGAGTTCCGTCGTCAGAGTGATCTTGCGAGGAGCGTCGTCCGTTCTCGTTCTGGCCGTCACCCTCCTTTGAACCACAACCCTTGACTAGTCGGTGCCTCTGTGATGTTCGTCAGCTATTGTTCATCTCCTAAAAGATCTGCCGTGCAACTGTCTCGGGGTGTTAGGAACCGACCTTCAACGCGTCCTTGCGAGAGAAACTTTTATCGCAGAAGTTGCAAGGGAAGGGCTTGACTGCAAGATGAATTCTCTTATGTCTCTTCAGGTCGTGGTTTCGGTTGAATGACTGTGGGCACTGATCACACTTGAACGGCCGTTCGGCCTGCGGGTTGGGCTGCCCCCCGTGGGTGTGGCCGTACATTGACGGTGCAAGATGGTGTGCTCCATAACCGCTGGGGACACCCATACCAGTCACGAGTGACATCTGGTGCCCAGGGGAAGTGAGGTTGGACATGATCGGTCCTCCCATCGATGGAACATGATAACCGGGGTAGCGGTAAGAGCCAGGGGGTGCCATCGCGGAAGGGTGCTGGAGCGCAGCAAGTCCTCTCCCTGGACCCGCCGAAGTCGTCGGAGAAGGAGCGGTGGGCGATGTGTGGGATTGTTGGTAGTTGTTGAACGATTGCTGGGGGGCCGATGATGTGGAGTAGTAGCCGGGTGTCGCTGGTGGTCGTGACTGGGTGTAGGAATCAAGATGGGAGTGTAGACCGCCAGGCGTTGGAGGTTGCGTCGAGACAGCACCGTGAGATCCAAGAATACCACCCTGAGGTGTTGGTGGGCCTTGAGATGGCAAACTGACTGGTGTAGATCCCGCTCCTCCATGAGAATAAGCCTGGAAGGACTGGTGCGTTTGCCCATAGGGCGGTGGAGGAAGGCCCTCGCCAGTTGCGGGTGATTGCGAAGTGCGAGAGTAGGACATTGGAGATTGCTGATCGTAGGTGCTCCCGCGGGAGGCATACTGAGAGGTCTGAACGAGCCCCTGGGGCGTCCCAGAGCTGAGCTGGTAGGAACTCGAGGGCGTGGGCCATGATCCGTGGCCGTTACCTCCAGGATAGTAGGAGCTCTGGGAACTCGTGGTGTTGACACCGGAAGAGAGCGGGCTAAGCCCTTCACCTGGCACTCCTGAAGGCGATGTTAGACCAGAGCTGGCGGTTACAGGAGAATGTTGAGTATTTGAGGCAGCGGAGGAGGAGGAGGGAGCCGACGGCGTAGCCATCGCGGGGGCTTGCCACGATGATGGCGACTGCAGAGGCTGATTGTGAAAACTGAAAGGGTACTGATGAGAATGTCTACTCATACTCGGTATATCTTGGTTTGTCGACGGAAGATGGAATGGGGGCAAAGCCTGTGTTGCTTGTCTTCGAGCCGTGAAGCTCGAAGAAGTCTCCATTGCCATTTTGGGTAGGGGGTCGCGGTGTTTGAGGTTTTGGTGATTTTTCGAATCCTCCTCGTTCTTTCCTGCCACGGGCGAGCTCTTGCTTTTTTGACTGGTTGTTTTTGGATAGTTGCTGCCGGGCGGACTAATCCAGCAGGCACACTGGACCTGTCGGTACTTGTGCCTGACCGGAAGATTGGTGGAGCGGGAGCGGCAGGAGCAGGAGAAGCGGGAGCACAGAGTCTGAAGTGACGTGACTGAGCTACCAACCTTGACGGTAATGGGGCGCGGCGGATGTCAAGCAAAGTAAGGCACCCGGGTCTCTTTTTCTCTTCTCTCTCTCTTTCTGTCCTTCTCAAGACAGCTCGGAAACAGCTGCTGTTGGCGGGTCCCGTTCTAGGGATGCGGCGTCGGAGCTGAAAAAAGCTGGAACTTCAACGCGGTGTTTAGGAATGCCACAGATGAGAGGCTTCCGCCGCTACTGGATTCGACAACGATGATGACCGGTGACAGTCCAACACGGCGCAATCAGGTGTCTGAATTTGGTGGGTGATGGAATGTCGTGACCTTGGGCTTGGGGGCAGGAATGAGAGAAGAAGGCAAGACAAGACAAGACTAGACAAAGCTGACGAGAGTGAGAAGGACGGCTCAGGTAGCCAAGGTAGGTAGGTAAGGTGGATAGGTAGGTAACCAGGAAAGGTAGTGTCAGGTATACAAGTATTGTACGGATTGTCGGGCCCTGAGATGAGGAGAGGAACGCTGCCCTGGGAGTAAGGCTTGATGGAAAAGGTGGATTGGGTTCGGAGTAAATAGATGGCAGGCCCGGCGGACGGGGTCGAAAGGAGGCTTTGTGTGCAGGTTTTAAGCTATCCTTCGAGCGAGATGTCGAAAGGAGTTATCGTGCGTCGATCGCCTTAGTTGCCAGTCCAGTCCCGTCTACCTTGCCAGTGTGGAGAGGCGGCTGTCGAATATATGTAGCTCGTTGATGGTGCGGGACTTGGACTTGGGACACTAGACCAGGTGCGCTTAGGTCAAGGCCAGCCAGCCCTCTAGCTCGGGAGGGCTGAAGGGGGCTTGTGAATGGGTAAAGTCCAACACCAAATGCTACCGGAGGACCCTGGGCGCCTCAGCTCCAAGTACCGGGGGTGGGTTGTGTGTCTGACAATCCAGGAGAAGAGATGGTCTATGAAGTACGGAGTAGCGCCTGCCCTACGACACGGCGAGAATGGACAGATAGATGCTCAGGTTGAACCGTCCCCGTCCTGTCCTGTCCTGTCTGGTCTGCTGCTCCTCTTTGCTCTGCTATGCTGCTAGTTGCAACAAGAGTGACTCTGTTGGAATGTCTGATGAGCCAAAAGGGAGTAGAGACGGTCGGTCTCGAGATAGTGTGTGAGTGTGAGAGAAAGAAGCAGGATGGGAGATGTGACAGAAACTCGTGCTTCCAGTGTCTCTCCTGAGAGCCTGTCTCTGTCTTCTCTCTGTTGTCTCTGTGCCAGTCCGTACCCGCCCGACTTTCGTCAAGTCCCAGCCGGAAGAAGAGTTAAGATGCAGAAGAGGAGAGCAGTAGTCACTCACTCGCTCG